AGGCGGCGGGCAGCGGGACCAGGCGTCCCGCCGCTCCAGTCCTCCAGGGCGAGAAAATCCCCGTTTGTAACTGTGGATCCGACATAAGTCGGATCCGCGTAACTTGGGAACTGCCTGTATCTTCCTTTCATGGTTGAACAAGAACATTTCCAATATAAAGTCCTACTTCTTGGCCTGTCTGCTACCCCCAGGGACAAGGGCTTAGGGAGCCTATAAACAACATCCATGACCCTCTCGTTTTGATTATTTGCTGCTAGGTCCTTGAGTCTCCTCCTACCTGGACACTTTATCTTCACTCCTTACCTTGCCTTACCTTAGGGTTAAAGTACTCAGATGCTTTCTCTCCAAGCTTAAGCAAATGTTGCTAGAGCCAAGCTCTGGTTATCCTTCAAGATACTTTGGTCAGAGAGGAGTATCCTTTCTTGCTCTTTGGTCAAAATCAGGAACTGATCCTCTAAAGCCCTGCAGTGCCTTTAATCTGAGCCTGCTGGGCTCTGATTGGCTGTTTCTGTGCAACTTCTCTAGGCAGGCCTAGAGGACTGACCTTTGTTGGCCTTTTCCTGGAGCACATTATAGTAGGACTAGAGAGCTTCCAGTGGGTGGGAAGGTGTGGGTGTATGTGCAGGGAATGAAGGAGCCTTGTCAAAGTGCTGTGTCAAAATTCTACTTGAAAATGTAATATTCTATTCAGCTCTTATGGGCTTCATGGCTTTAGCCATTTATGTCAGACCTTAGCTTTGGGACAGCATAGCTATTAAAACTGGAACAATACAGATCTTGTTAGCATGACCCCTGAGCAAGGATGGCAAGCTAATTTGTGAAGCATTCAAAATGATAACTCTGTAGCATTGGCTGGTGTTAAATTACAGACCAGGTACAAGCAGTATGTTGACTAGACTGACCATCCTACAAAAAATACTGCTATCCCTGTCAAAGTGACCTTACTATATAAATGTTCCGAAAGAGGTATCATTCAATCCTTGTAGTCAGTCAGTAACAGTTACGTCTGATGTCTTCAATAAGAGATGAGGACCAACAGATAGGCATTTAGAGGTCACTGGAGCTCTCAAAATTAGACTACATAAGTATTTCCTAAAATTGAGAGCAATCTGTTTGGCATTCAGATATTTTATAGGTGACATCAAGAAAAAGATTGTGCAATTCATCACAGACAATACAATGGGAGTGTACTATGTGAACAAACAGGGAGAAGCTCACTCTTTCTGGCTGTGTGAGGCTGTAAGTCAAATTACAGGCTTGCTATATCCAGCATAATGTTTATCCTGGAGCTCTACATGTAGCAGGCAAGGTCAACAGGCTAGCAGTTCAACTGAACAGAGATGTAACAAAACTGCATGAATGATTATTTAAAGAAACTGATGACCTGTAAAAGCTCCCAGGCATATATCTTCTTACCACCAGACAGAATTTGAAGTGTCTATATTTTTACTCGTGAGCAGTGAGTCTGTCCATATGGGTATGTCTACACTACCACCCTAGTTCGAACTAGGGTGGTTAATGTAGGCAACTGAAGTTGCAAATGAAGCCCGGGGTTTAAATATACCGGGCTTCCTTTGCATCTTGCCGGGCGCCGCCATTTTTAAAGCCCCAGTAGTTCGGACTCCGTGCCCGCAGCTACATGCAGCATGGAGTAGGCAGTTCAGATTAGGCTCGCTAATCCGAACTACCAGTACACCTTGTTCCACTGAACTACCTACTCCGTGCCGAGTATAGCCGCGGGCACGGAGTCCGAACTACCGGAGCTTTAAAAATGGTGGCGCTGGCAAGATGCAAATGAAGCCCGGGATATTTAAATCCCGGGCTTCATTTGCAACTTCGGTTGCCTACATTAACCACCTTAGTTCGAACTAGGGTGGTAGTGTAGACATACCCTATTGGACTCTTTTCCTGTGAACTGGTGGAAAGGTCTGTTTTTTATGTTTTCTTCCCCCATCCCTTTACTCTCATCCAAAGAGTGAGAAAGGAAAATAAGATGGAGACAGGATAGTTCTAGTTGCCTCAGCATGAGCAAGACAGCAGTGATAAACAGCCCTTCTTCAGGTCTCCAACAGAGCACACTAGGTATTTCTCATGTTATCAGCTTTATTATCTGAACAGGAAAGTAGAATTTCTCATCCAACCTTCTAGCACGTCACCTAAATTCATGGGCTACAGGACTCTAGCATACCTTGAAAAATCTTGCCCTTCAAAAGTGCATCAGCCATTGATTAACTTGAGGAAACAGTCAACCAGAAAGTGTTGTGACCTCTCAAGAGGACTAGATTTGTGGAGTGAATAGCCAAGAAACATACAGATCTAACATTGGCTCCGATATATTTTTGATTGCTTACTGTAATTAAAGCTTTCAAATCTTTCCAACTCTTCTTTGAAAATGCACCTAGCAGCTATAGAGACACACTCTGTACTCACAGACAATATGTCCTCTGAGTTAAGAAACGTATGAAGGCCTTGTCACTGAAAGACTTTTTTTCTTCAAGGACTCTTCAAGGACCATGCACTCATAATCAAGTCACCATTCTTTGTCTTTCACAACAATAAAGTAGAGGTGGCAGAGGGCACCCCCCTTTTATAGCCTTACCCTCAAAATTTTCAAAAATTCAGAAGGAAGAAATAGTTAGGGCATGGCTATGAGACGATTCCACCACCTGAATTGCACCTACCTGTGTATCCCATTAATGGTACTAGAAAGAGTCCATTTCAGACAATTTGGGTTACAGGCAAGTAAACTTTGTTTTCAAGATTTTTCTGAAACTACTGAGTTCTCTGTTTTAAATTTGCACACATAAATGACATTTCTGTTTGCAAATGGATTTGTGCTTGCAAAATCAGATTTGGTCCTGCATTGAGCTTGATGTGGGCAGAATCCTGTGCCTATGTAGAGCTCATTGCAGCATGTAGGCCTCAGAGGCTGGCGTACCAGCCAGTTGAAAACTTTTGCTCTTGGGGTGATAGTGCACATCTTCTTAGGCATTTCAAGTCTGTAGTATTTAATTACAATGCACTAGCCTGCCTGCCCATTTGATACAGTATTCAAGGAGTTAAAAGAATTAAAAAACAAAGTTGCTTGAATTAGTAATACTGTACTTGCTTTTCTCCTCTACAAAAGTACATCAGAATTTTCAGTAATACATCTTTCTCAAAAATGTCTACAGTATTTGTAGAGCTACCTTACACTTAAATGGATATATGTTAGCAGATTATTCTTACATGCCTAGTTGCATTGTGAAGCACACTATTACAATAAGGGCTCGTCTACACTGGCCCCTTTTCCGGAAGGGGCATGTAAATTTCATGAGTCGTAGTAGGGAAATGCGCGGGGGATTTAAATATCCCCCGCGGCATTTAAATAAAAATGCCCGCCGCTTTTTTCCGGCTTTTAAAAAAGCCGGAAAAGAGCGTCTACACTGGCCCCGATCCTCCGGAAAAAGTGCCCTTTTCTGGAGGCTCTTATTCCTACTTTGAAGTAGGAATAAGACCCTCCGGAAAAGGGCACTTTTTCCGGAGGATCGGGGCCAGTGTAGACGCTCTTTTCCGGCTTTTTTAAAAGCCGGAAAAAAGCGGCGGACAGTTTTATTTAAATGCCGCGGGGGATATTTAAATCCCCCGCGCATTTCCCTACTACGACTCATGAAATTTACATGCCCCTTCCGGAAAAGGGGCCAGTGTAGACGTAGCCTAAGAGTTGGTTATTGCTTCTGGAGCAGGTCTTTTTGCATGAACAGTATATTTAAAAAAAACACAATTTGAGATGGGTTTATGAACCATGTTGTTCCCTTGCAATTCCCTCAGAAACATCTGATAAAAGGTAAAGGAGGCTCATGAAGGATAAAAATGTCAGGATAGTGATACCAGTTTTCTCCCTCTCCTTTCTCTATTCCTCTTCTCTTTTCTAAAAATCCTGAATTGATACTCTTAAACAAGTTCCAATTACAGATCTCTTAACTAAACTTTAAACATTGAAGCTGCACCATTGCTTTTGGAGCAAGTGTCTGAGCTTCAGAGGGAATCAGTGACTTTCAAGCCCTTTTGTAGGATAATGATACTTCAAAGGGAAACTGCAACTTTCACTCAAAGTGCAATGCCTGTGCTGCAGAAGTAGATGATAAGTTTTGAAGTTTAAAACAGAGGAAGGGCCGAAGAGAGCTGAAAACATATTTGTCAATGAAGGGACACTAAAACTTGGGTTGCCAGTACATTTAACAAGGACAAATTCCTAAACCTTTGTAAATGCCTAAAGCCTCCTAAACTCCTAAGTTAAGTAGAATAATGAGAAGCAGAAAATCAACCATCAGTTTCCTTTATAATTTCATTACTGTATTAACATTTATAATGGGCAGTTGCCTGACACTTCCTATTATAACTTTACCATCTTTAACTGTGAGGGCTGAAATTTTATGGTTGGGTAGCTATAGCAGGCTGACTTTTTTTGCAAAAATTTTCCAAAATTGGTCGCCCCCTTCCCCCCTTTTTTTAAATTATACTAGAGAAAAATTGCAAATTGAAAACTGGTTTGGGGAGAGGGGTGGAGGAGGAGGAAGGAAGGGCAAGGGAGGAGTTGTGTGACTTTGTGGCATCTCTTTGAAAATCCACACTGAGCATGTGTAAACTGCAATTTTTCAGTAGAGACTTGCTAGATCTCAAAAGATTCCATCTGTACTGGAGAGATAAGGTGGGTGAGGTAACGCTTTTTTAATTGGACCAACTTTTGTTGACAGGTTGGTCCAACAAAAGATATTACCTCATCTATCTTAGCTAAAGTCCTAGGACTGATATGTCTATTACAGCACACAATCCATCTGTGCTAGGCAAACTTCAGCCCAGGGCTGAGCCAGACTTGCAATTAAGCTCCAGGCTGATGCAAGCTATGCTGGGGCCAGGTTCCAGGACCTAGAATAGAGAGACCCCTATTCTCAATACCCTCACTGTACTGGGAGGGAGGAAACTGCCTGAATAAAAAGCAGCTCATGTATGGGAAATGGATCAACACAAAGAAACCTCAGAGGGAGAATTGGAACTTCATGGGAGAAGTGGGACAGGATCAAGGGAAAAGAGGAAAACTTAAACTGCGAGTTGAGTGAGCATTATCACAACTGGAAACAAAAGTTGAAGCATAGAAGAGTCACACTGAAACTGTCTTTGCATGTAGGATTTTCTTCAGTCTGTGTTAAATTTAATTTTACATGCCAAATTTTTAAGAAAATGTATTTCTGTTGAGTATCTCAATTAAAAGATTTTAAGAGGGCACATATTTCTTTATAAATCCAAAATTATAATACATTACTGGTAGCATCATCAATAGAAATGTACATTTTAGACCACATGTGTTAAATAGACATAAATGAAGACTGTCATGCTATTTTGAATAAACATTTTATGTCAGAATATGTAGCATTGTCTAACTCTAATCCATGAAATAGTTAATTACTATTAGCATCGCTTACAATATTTTATTTTTAGGAGGCTTACCGGGAAGATCAACTTATTAACCGACTAATGAGACAGTCCCAACAGGAGCGGAGGATTGCTGTGCAACTCATGCATGTTCGGCATGAAAAAGAAGTGTTGTGGCAGAACAGAATTTTCAGAGAAAAACAGTATGAGGAAAGACGACTGAAAGAGTTTCAAGAAGCCCTTGACAGAGAGGCGGTAAAAGATTAATTATTGATTACATTTTGCTGAGCTTTGTCCCTCTCCCAAACACATGGGCCAAGATTTTTAAAGATGTTCAAGCATTGCCCAACTAGTGTTGCAAAGCCTAAGTGACTTAGGAGTCTGTGTCATTTTCAAAAGTGACTTAAGCATTTGGGAACCTAAGTCTGAATGGGATGTTATGCCAAATATTATGTACCCAGCAGGGCATTACGAATTCACCTTTCTAGACTCTGTCTCCCTCTGTCCCCCAAAATTAAATGGTTCTCATAAGGAAATCCATGCATCCAGGAGTCTGTAGGTATTGAACAGAGAGTCTCTAGAATTAGCCACTAGCGCCCACTGTACCATTGGGAGTGCTGGTAACTAAGCTGCTGTTCCTCCTTTCTGATTTACGTATACAAAATTTGAAGGGTGAGTATTCTAATGCTCAAATAGCTTCAGTATCTTTGTATTAATTTTTTGCAGAACAAGCCCTTGCTGTTTAAACTTGCTGTGTGCCATGTCTTCTAAAATGTATTTAATGCCAGAATTAGCCCAATAACATCAAAAATGGTTTGAGTATTGACTGCACTGTGGCCAGGATTTCAGTGTCTGCATGATTGTTCTTCATGAATAGTGAATGTACTCTTTCCATGTTTTAAGATTAAAATTAGTTTTTTTCCGAAATCACTGGGAAAAAATTACTTGTTATGGGAGAAGTAACATTTTGCTCTTTTACTTCAGTATGGTAGTAACAATTTTGTGACAAAATAGGGACTTACAGAGTCTTCAGAAGTTGTGTTCAGGCTTCTGCAGATCTTAATTAATTATTATCTGCTATATACCATTTGATTAATATATCTGATAAAATGTTTTCATTCTTGACTCCGTCAGCTCTTTAAAGATTAAGCATTTTAAACTTTTTATTATTATGCCAGTGCAAATTAATTACAATCTAATTAAAAGGCTTGCTTTTGAAAACAAAAACTTTAGGCCCTTGCAAAACAAGAAAAAATTGATTACGAGGAACAAATTTGCAAAGAAAGAGAACTACACAAGAAAATTGCTGCTGAAAGAGCAGAGGCTCGATATAAAAAGCATTATTCCATGTGTTGGGAAGTGATTGACCAAATTATTGATCTGTCAACCAAAACAGGAGAATATCGAATGTTGACAAACAAGTAAGTAATTTTCAAAAGTCAGACTAAATAAACGTAAGAAACAGAATATAATGAAAGGAAAATTAACGATACATTATTTTATGAAATATGTTCCCTTGTGAATGCCCCACTCTATTATTGTGGTTAATACTGAAAACAATCATATAATTTAAACATTTAATATAGAATAATGAGTTCTGTTTCTCATATTCAATGTACTAGAATTAATGTCAATAAGGAAAAATTAAACCCAACTCCACAGTACATATTATTTTCAAATGGAAATACTTATCAATACTTTCACATTTTTGCAGATGAACTATTAATAAAAATTATATTTATTATATTTCAATGCAATCTTTGCTTTACAGCATCACAATGTACTTTCTATAGATAGTAGGATTATCAATCATGGTTAACTCAAGTGATTAATAATAAATTAACTTAAAGTTAATCTCTAATAATCACAATTTTAAGTATACTGTTAAATGATAGAATAGCGGATTATATTTATTATGCATATATTTGATTTTTTCTGTATTTTCAAATACTGATTTTCATTACAATAGAATACAAGGATACAGTGGTCTATTGATATTATTTTTATGAAAAATATTTACATTAAAAAAGAGACACAAAAGAAATAGTGTTTTTCAGTTTACCTCATACAAGTATTGTAGTGCAATATATTTATTGTGAAAATGCTACTTACAAATGTAGTTAGATTTTTTTGGTTACATAACTGTGCTGAAAAGCAAAACACTATAAAATTTAGAGCCTACAACTCCACTCTGTCCTGCTTCTTTTTCAGCCAATTGCTAAGACTCAGAAGTCTGTTTGCATTTACAGAGATAATTTGCTATATTATCAAGCAAACTCCATCATCAGCATGGAAGATTGTCCTCTTGAATGGTGGTGAAAACGCGATGGATCATTCAAATGTTTGGCATATCTGACACACAAACATCTTGCAAGGCCTTCTACAAAAGTTCCATGCATAGACCTGTTCCCGCTTTCAGGTGACACTGTAAATAACAAGCGGGCAGCATTACTGCCCATAAATAAAAGCAAATCTGTTTTTCTTAGCGATTGGCTGAACAAGAAGTAGGATTGAGTGGACTTGTAGCTTCTAAAGTTTCATGTTCCTTTGTTGTTTAGTGAAATTATGCAAAAAAAGTCTAAATTTTAAGTTGCACTGGAAGAGATTGCACTAAACTTCTTTTATGAGGTGAACTGAAAAATGCCATTTCTTTTAACAGTTTAGTAATTGTAATAAAAATAACATATAGTGAGCACTGTACACTTTGTAGTCTGTGCTTTAATTGAATGAATATATTTGAAAATGTAGAAAACATTCAAAATATTAAAATAAATGTTATTCTTGTAGTGTTTAAAATTGTGATTTAAATTATGATTAATCACAATTATTATTTTAATCATTTGACAGCCCTAATAGATAGTACATTTGCAAAGCAATTTGAGTTCCCGAAGGTTTAAAGGCACTGGGTTTAAGGTGTATTTTATAATTTACTTTCCTCACATCAACAACGGAGCTACCTATACGGTAGAACAGCAACTATATTAAAAGTCCAAAAAAAATCACTCTTCAATGCTTTAGGACTGTAAGAGGTTTTCCTACCTGGTCTGGCATCAGATACTGCATTGCTATAGTTTTCCATCAGAATGGCGTTTCAGTTTCCCCTTGCTTTCAGGTAGCTGAGTGCTTCAGCGATTTGGCGATTTGGCCTTCCGGCCAAGTCAAATATTTCTTCCTTTTAAGATAAATAAAAGTTAAAAACAAAATACTTCTGCAACTTCCACCCATCCTTAGCTAAATCCTTTCCTTTAATACCTATGATTTCATATTAGTTCTTTGCCCCTCTCTGGTCCACAATTCTTCAACTTTCCATACTAGCTTCACTTATTGACTTCCTCTGCCACAGTCTAAACAAGTCTTTCAGAAATACTCAGTAAGGGCTCAGTAATCCTCCATCCTTCCTTTTTTTCTGGGTATATTGTAGTCTTCCCCACCTGAACTAGGAAAGTAAATGAGAACTTCCTGTTATCCTCTCTGGAGGGTTTGGACCGGGGCGGGAGGAGGACCTCTAAACAAGAACTAGTTCTTTTACTGAGTCTCCTGCCTTCTCTGTTATACTTCTCCAGTTCTTTCTCCTGCCTGCCTTTAGGATTCCTCTTAGCCCCTCTTACTGACTTCTGGGCTTAGCCCCTCTCCTCCTTCATCAGCTCCATGACTTCTGGGAACACCACTGACAGTCTTGGTTACAACTCAGTTTGGTCCACCTTTGAGGATCCCTGTGTCAAACTGCTACACCCTCCAGCCTTCTGTCACTATTGAAAAAACAAGCGATTATATGTACAGTAAACTTCCGATAATCCGGCACCTTTAGGACCCAGGGGGTGCCGGATTATCAGATATGCCGGACTATCAGAATGGGGGGCTATGAGAGGTCTGGAGTGCGTTGGTAGGGGATGCCACCCCAGATCCCTCATAGCCCCCCCTTACGATAGTCAGGCTCTGCCCCAGGAGTCCCTGATTCAGCTGCTGCTGGTCAGTTTCAGCAGCAGCTGAATCGGGGATGCCTGCAATAAAGCAGCTGGGGTGCTGCAGGGTTGGTCCCGCAGCGCCAAGGGGCGGCGCTAGGGCACCAACCCAGCAGCACTCCAGCTGCTCTTGGGGACGCCTGGGACAGAGCAGCTGGGGTACTGCCCGGTTGGTCCCGGAGCGCTGTCAATTGAGGGCATATTTTGGTGTGCTGAACTAGTTGAAATATAGAGCTCTATATTTCTGGAAAAGGTAGTAAGAGAAAATACTTTTTAAGTGTCTCTTTATGTATGAATTTTTGTCATTACTGTATTAGGCAATCCTATGTAAACTTCCGATAATCCGGCACCTTTAGGACCCAGAGGGTGCCGGATTGTCAGATATGCCGGACTATTAGAAGGGGGGGCTATGAGGGTTCTGGAGTGGGGTGGGAGGGGATGCCACCCCAGACCCTTCATAACCCCCCTTACGATAGTCAGGCTCTGCCCCAGGTGTCCCTGATTCAGCCACTGCTGGTCAGTTTCAGCAGCAGCTGAATGGAGGAAGCCTGTCCGGCTGCCCCAGCACTTCCAGGTTCCTGATGGTGCCGGACCATCAGGAGTCTCGGAGCATTGGATGCCGGACTAATGGAGTTTTACTGTAGTACTGTTTCATTCCCCGGTAGGCTTTGCAGTAACCTGTAGTCACACAATATGTCTAAAGATTATATCCCAGAAAATGCTGATCTTAAAAGGCTTTAAATAGACCTATGCCTGCTTTGAAAGGGACAACACGTTCTGTTACAGTCTGAAATAATACTTCATGCATCTAAAATTCAAGGTGTATATAATTATGCAAATGTGAAGTGTTCAAGACAGAATATTTAATAACCTCACTCTTGCAAATGAGCTATTAGGTACTAGGATGTGAGTAAGTAATTCAGAAATGGAACCTTTTTGTGGCTTTCAGAGAAAAATATAAGGGTAGGCCCGTCTTGTCTCAAAGACTGTGTAAGTGGATAAGATTAGACATTAAGTCATGTTATGAGCTGGTTGAACAGAGCTCATTTAATTAAGGGGATAGCAACATTGTTTAAACATTCCTTTGAAATCATTAAGGCTGCTGAATAAGGCTACCTTCACAAGCCACCATTTTCATTACATGGTTGCAAGACCAGATACTGATTTTGGGAAGCAGTGTTTCAGTCATTGTGTATCTTACAAGGATCCTCAACGCTTTTCTTTTAAGAGATCACTGCTAGCTAGTATGCCCAGGATATGGCTAATAATGAGTTAACAAGATATAACTTCAGGTAGCTGTCAATCTTATTATATGGAAATTTTAAGTTAAATATTCCGCTTTTAATGGAAAGTAGGGGGAAAGCCCACAAACAACATGAAGTGTCAAACTAAACAGTAATGTGCTTTAAAATATTTTTTATCCTTCCTTCATTGGGTAAGTGTGAAAGTGTTCTCCCCATCTTTCACCTCACTTTTTTTCATTTCCCTGTCTCATCCCCTTTTTATCCTTACAAGTCAGTTCAGGTTCTCTTGAGAGACATTTGAAAAAAACTATAATTATTATGCAGAGCCCCATGCAATAACTTTTATGCAGTCAGCATACATAGGTTAACATACCATATGATTACTAAGAAATAACCATAGTTATTGTGCATATCAGCACTCTAGAACCTATGAGTATTGAATAATTAGTGAAACCAGACTTAGGCCATTGCATTTCATTATAGTGTAATTGGAATTAATAGTCTTACAATGTAAAAATAAGAATAATGCATACATTTTATAAGATGGCTTTCTTATTAATTTCATACTTTTCTCTCATCATGGAGAAGCAAATCAGTCCTCTAAGAACTCTCAGGGGAGCAGTCGGGGGAAGCTAAAGTGGCTTAAATGTTTGTGCCCTTCCAATTCCAGGCTGCTCCAGTGGCTAGGTAGCCCCCAGTATAATTTAGACCTGGGGGCTTTTTTACATTACAACAGCCTTCCTAGGCTGCTTGAATTTCCACAGCAGTGATGGACAACATAAACCAGAGATTGGGCTGTCTTTCATCTCAGTGGGTTGTAAGAATATTGTAAGTGAGACAATCTCCTGGGATAGAGTAGTTTTTCTAACTGTGCTTGCATACTTAGAATTTGCAGGGCATACTGATTGAACTGTAGCAGCTCATTGGATGCAGAGGAAACATACAGCTCTCAGAGTATTGTGTGCCAGGTGGATCCTCCCATGGTCAGATTTGTGGCTTTACAAGCTCCCTTCTTCAGTTCCAGTATCTTTTCACACAGCATAAATGGTCGAGAGTGGTGGTGAAGCTTATAAATATAAATCTAAAACTCTATTTTAGAGTAAACTGTTATGTTAAAAGATTCAAGCAAAAAATTATTAAAGAAAAAATGTGCATAAATAAATTATGACCCAGTAGATGTTTAATATGAATTGTATTATAGCACTGCAATATTTAATCTCACATTTTGTGGGTGATTTTCTTGTCAATGTGCAGACATCACTCCAATATAAATTAGTGTAAAACATACATGAACTGAGTGGTGAATACACAATATAGGTATTTGAAATACATCTACAAAACCAATTGGTATCAGCTTCCTAATTGCCACAGTAAGTAAATTTTGTCAGTATCTCCATGCATTTCCTTGCGCAAAATGCAAACAGTATAGTTCAGTGTTCAAAGATATTATGTGCAAAGCATATTTATAGCATATCACTCAGTTATCTTAGATCCATACTTAAAAAGAAGAAAACCCAAATAGATGAAGTTCTAAAATGATAATGCTATCTGCTAGCAATTTTATAGTTGTGCCCTTTTATGGTCATATAATTAAATCAGTGCTGTTTTTAAAAAAATGCAAAGTGCAAGGCAAGTAAAAGGTAATCATATATATTTTGACAAGAATATAACTCAGTTTGAATTTGAGCACAAACCTGTTGAATACAGGCTGTTCATATTATTGGTGTTGCTTGGCTTGTTAGTTTGAGTAATCATGGAATTACTGCATAGGATGTGCATTTAGGTCCTTTGTTTTATCTTTAATAATAATAATAACAAAACTTTTTCTGAATGTATATCTACTTTAACTTGTTTTCTATAAATACCTTTCTTATACAATCAGAAACTAGTATTACACATAGATTAAGCATTTCTGGGCAGATCTTGCTACTCTCTTGTCATTCTCAGTGGCTTTTGTCTCTCCCCATATGTGCACACTGGCACATATGTGGAGAGATCAGCCACTGTGTCTCAGACAGCAGCTGCAGAGCAGGTGAAGGTACAATTGTGCTGTCTTTAGGGAAGGTTCTGCCGTCATCCCAAATCCTACAGATGTTCTAGTGTAGAACCTGTTTTCTACTGCAGCTTATATAGTGCAGAATTGGGTCCATAATTCTCAAAATACCAAACTTGTTAGTTTGGTTTGACAACTAATTTGGTTTGTTTTTACTCCTACAGCCTAATTCCAATTAAACTGATGCGTGATTGGAAAGAGCTTTTTTTTAATGGAAAACCAATATATGAACAAGCATCACTTGACCCTTTGCAAACTGACCCAACCCCAGAACAACTTGTAGAGCTGGATAAAATGAATTTGCTAGATGAGAAAGATTATGATGAATATAAGGTACCACTAAATGACACGGCATAATAGAAGAAAATGCATATTGTTTACTTATGATTGCTGATAAGTTGTTGTGATGTTATTATACATTTTGGGGTTTTTGACAGTATATGATATTAGAATTTTTTCATGTAGGAATGTATGTTTTCATGTTAATGTCATATTGGTTTGGGAGTTAATAATATTTTCTCTAGCTAGCATTTGAAAGCCTATGCAATCTTGAAAATCTTATTTTTTGTTTGGCCTGGAGTGCAGTAACATATACTGTATCTGAACCATTGATGTGACTATCAGGAGTATATAACCTCAATATATGAAATCTCAGTGTAATTATTTTTAAATGGAAGTTAATGTGTACTTAATGTCACCATTTAGAAAATGTAACACAAAGTAGTCAACAACAACAAAAAAACCCAACCTAAAACAAAATAAAAACAGTGCCTTTTACAAAATCTAGTATTGCTCTATATACTATTTGCAACAGTTTGTGAATTAAATCTTTTATTTGGAATTTTATATTTGGTGATCCATTTATTTTAATAAAACAGCATTTTAAAAAAGAGGTTTTGAGAGATGGCTGATATTGTTATGACCATGCTCTAGTAATCTGTGATAATTTTTCATATCCTATAATCTGTTTTCTGCAGTTTTAGAACATAGAATGTTGAACTGCTTTGGTCAAAGTACACTACATAGATATTTTCTCCCAATTCAGTATTTTTTTTAATCCTCTTGTTTGAAAAAGAAGCCTTTGTGCTTTGAATCTTTTCTGAAAGTCTGTTTAGTGTATTATAGCATAATCATTGTAAATAACTTGTAGCTCTTTGTTGTTGGGGAAATGATTACCACACGATATATGTGCTTTTTTACCCACATCCTGAACCAATTGGTACATATTCTTTTGCAGTAAGTAGTCAACTTTTTTTAAGGGTTGGTGTGGTGTATGTCTGACAGCTCAGTTTATTTTGTTTTTAATCTTTGAGTATGTTCTTTGCCAAATAAAAATTATTTACAAGATACCTGTTTATACAGCAACAACACTTATGATAAATTTGGAAATCTTCCTTAGAAGAATAAAAAGAAATGTACTCTGTGGAGGGAGAAAGCTAGATGGTTGAGGTTTATTAGTGGTACATCACGTCTTTGGGTCAGAGCCTCATTTATGCTAAAGCCTCTGTAAATCGCTCTGGGAGAATGCAGAAACATTAAAACTGATGTAAATGTAACTTATGCACCTTTAAGGCCTCCTTATATTGCAAATGGATTAAAGGGACCTTAGCATAAAGGAAAATCAGGCCCTTTCACCTCTAGGTTTCTACTTGTACTCTTTTATTCCCTTCCTTTCCACCAAACTTTTGGTGTTCTCAATTCTGTTTCCAATTAACTTGCAATTAACTGATAATAAGTGAATGACAAATTACTGACCAAAGCATTAATATCTGTTTAAAGTGTCCTGCAAATTTATGGAACGTGATATAAGTTTTGAATAATAAGAGTTATGAAATTACTTTAGATTTTTTTAAATTAATGCTTATCAGATCAATCAACACAGCAGTCATGTACTGAGTTAGGATAGACAGTCCTAGATCTTTGCTGTAAATACATATTGAGCTTATGCAAGAAAAATGAATACTTAGGATAGCAATTTTAGCTGTTTGCATTATTTCCCAGTGATGTAATATACAATAACTCATTGGTTCCAAAAAGAGTATAGTTACTATTCACTAGACTCCTTTATCAAGTCAAATTAGTTACACTCAATTGAACAGAGAGCAAACAGAAATAAAACCAATGTTGATAAAGAAGAGCATGATCTATGCAGGACAACACAAGATTGAAAGCCTGATTCACTGGAATTCTAATTGTAACTGTCTGATGATCTAAATACTGACTCTCTGGTCATGGCAAGTCATTAACTCAAAATTTTCAAATATGGCCCTTAATTTTCAGTGTGGGCCAACTTCAGACATGTAGCATCAAAGCAGAAGTGGATATTGAGGGAAGGAAATGAAAGAGGTATATCTCACCACCTTTTTTATCTTTCCCATCATCTTTATGATTTCATCTTCATTACCCCCTGTGCTTGCACCAAACATCAATTCTCTTTTCATTCAAACCCCTCCTTAAAATTCCACATTCAAATACTGCTCTCTGAGCCTACCAGTGTTAACCCATTTCAGTTAGTGCTATTATATGTAGTGATGTTACATACTTCTATTTGAAGAATCTTTACAGTCATGAATTTTCATGAATTTTCACTATCAACTGATCTTCCAGTTTCTAAGGCATCTAAATCATTCTGTTTGTCTAAATTTGGGGCAAATATTCAAGACTTGACTAATTTTTAATGAGGTTTTAAGCAAATTCCAATTTAAATTATTATCAGTTTGCTTGAATTAAGGACCTCCAAATATTAAGCTCTTTGATATAGGAACTGTAGTTCTATGTATTGTACAGTGCTGAACATACGGATTGTGCTTATTAAAAGTAAGAAAAACACTGATATTCATGGAGAAATTGAATAGAAAATATTGGGAGAAACAATGGATAGACAAAACAATATGAACAATATTATATAGTTAGAGAACATAAGGAAGTTTTCAGTCAGCAATTCATCAGCAAGGCTTTTGCCATATCTTTAGATTAATAAACATTTTTCTAGAGCTGCAATGACTGCATCAAACATGCTGACACACAAATAAGTATATTAACAGTATATGTGAATTACAATCCTAACTCTTGTGCTATGGCAGCAACTTTTGATGTCAGAGATTGAGACAGTGAGGTTAACAGAGTAAAAGTGAAGACAAGAACATAGGCAGGTATGTATTTCCTTACAACATGTTGTGATTCCAATATAAGAAGTATAGCTGATAAAACAGTTAAGTAAAGTAAAGTGCTATAATACTTGACGTAATTACTGGAATGCATTTTACAATGGACTGCCCTTGGAGAATTTGTGTAAGATGCAGCAGTTGTAGATTGCAGCTGCTCACTTGTTAAACAGAACCAGTCAGAAGGAACACATTGCGTTAGTTCTGCTAATACAATGTGGATAAATGCACAATAATGCATATTGGAAAACGTAATACCAACTATGCGTATAAAATAATGGGGTCTAAATTAGCTGTTATGACTCGAGATAGTCATAACAGATTGTGAAGTCATTATAGATAGTTCTCTGAAAACATCTCACCCTATATGCTGCTGCAGTCAAAAAGACGAATTGAATGTTGGGACTCAGGAAAAGTATAGATAATAAAACAGAAAATATTACATTGTCTCTGTATAAACCCGTGGTATACGCAAATCTTGAATACTGTATGCCTATCTCAAAAAAGATATATTGGAATTGGAAAAACGACACTCGAAAAAGGGCCCAAAAAGATTAGGAGTATGTGAATAGCTTCCATGTAAGAAAAGATTAATAAAACTAATATTTTCATCTAAAAAAAGAGAGAACTAAGGGGAGGGGATATGGGAGAGGTCTATAAAATCATGTTTGCGGTGCAGAAACTAAATAAGGAAGTTTTATTTACCCCTTCTCATAATACAAGTATTAGGGATTATTAAATGAATATAATAGACAGAGGTTTAAAACAAGCAAAAGGAAATATCTTTTTCTTTGAGGAGTGTTCTGTGGGCGCTCCACCTTAGGTGTTTGAGCACTACTGTGCCTCTAGTTGGAGAATTATGATAGCAGTGCTCTTAGTAGGTTGCGCACCTGGGGCAGCTGACATGCACATTTGAAGTGGCTATATCACACGTGCAGCCATGCGCTTCTCTGCTGCCATTGGCTTCAGTGAGAACCTAGCAGTTGCTCTAAAAAATTAGTTAGATTCTTAGTCAGTTATAGAAATTTGGTAGTTACTTTTTCCTAGTTCATAGCGTAGCTAGTTGTAGTAAGGTTGTAGGTTTTGTTGTTGTTTGTTGTTTAAAAAAAAAAGTTGGTTTTTCATTGTTCCCACTTTAGCGGTGATCTGTTCAATGCACATGTCTGGTTCTTCAAGTTTTAAAAGGTGTACGACCTATAGGTTGTCTATATCTATTTCTGACGGACAATCTCAGTGTGTCCTCAGTGGAGGTACGTCTACACAGTAGGGCATACTTTGAAATAAGTTACACAATTTGAGCTATGCCGATTAAGTAGCTTTTTTCGAAATAGCTAATTTTGAAATTTTGAATTAAATGACTATTCCAGTGTCTTCCTTAATCCTTGTGCAATGTTTAAAGGAAGCCAGAATAACAAACCTATCATTTCGAATGTATTTCAAAATAACGGGCATGCGGTTGAGATGCTCAGAATGCTATGTCAGGATAACGGATGTTATCTCGAAATAGCACAGTGTGTAGATGTACCATTAGTGCTCTCTCTGCAAAAAGCTCACTACTAGAAATCTCTTCATCTGGCTTCAGACCCAGAACATACCACACTGCCAAAACAACCCTCTCTTATGGCGGTGTCAGTGAGAGCAGCTCCCTCAGGATTGAGTTCAAAGGACTCTGCTGTAGCACAATCCTCCAAGAAATGCTCCCATTCATCTGTTGGAAGTGATTTCCTCTAGAAAAAATGCTCTCTCAAAGAAATTGGCTCCAGCACCAGCGACACCCAAGGCACTGGACTGTGAGGCACTGGGAAAATCCAGCACTGAGATGGTATGGAGGACAGGGCACAGACCAGCTCTAAGGCATCAGTCCAACCTAAGTCCAAGACAACTGTGATGTAGTGGGGATTTTGTCCACTCTTGTAGTCCACTGCGGTTTTGCATTCACTGTTTGCTTTGTTGTGCAGTACACAATTCTTACTGTCCAGTGCTGCTCTGCAGTGACTTTGTGTGCCTCAGTTTCCCTGGCCACTGCAGCAGTATGCATGAGAGGAGGAGGCTGGACATGACTCGCTGTGAAAGTATGTCAGTCTTTCATGTCCGGAGGACCAGGTGACAGCAAATAACACCTTTGCCCTGAAGTAGGACAAAGCAGGAAGTGGGGCTGCCTGGGAGGCT